AAAGTTGGCCTGCTAGCATTAATGATTAAGATAAGATGCAAGACAAGTTGTTAGACGTTCTCATCATTTTTGGTTAAAGTCATAAGTCTCAATCACATAATCATCCCTAACATATGAGACAATAATCCTAAATAACCCACATCTCTTTTAAGTATAAATTTTTTGTGAGGCAGGCACCTTTTTTAGGTGGGTTATGCGTAGGAAGCACCTATTTATTATAAAGCAAACCACCTTATGCTCATTAGATAGTTGCTAGGCATCATGAGCCAACTCTAGTTATTTCTCATTAGAGTTTGTGAAGCTTAGGTTACCCTGATGTGCTGTTACCAATAAGGATGACACCTTTATGATAATTCATATTCAACTTCAACATCTTTCTTCATAGTCGTAGGATTGTAAGACACAAATAAATTAGGCTATTATACTGATCCTAATATCCTAAGGAAGATATCCTTTATAAGCGAAGCTCATTTATTTAGGAAATTTTAAGATGTGATGCCAAAAAAATAAGTAACTCCAAGGGCATACTCCCACGAAGAGCTTGAAAATAAAAATAAAATTAAATCATGTTTTAATGCTTGATTCATTTGTAAAATATAATATCTGAAATATATATATTTAATATGTATTCCAAAAGTTCACATAATAAAACTAGGGATGTGTTTTATCTGTATGAGGATAATACATATTCCCTTTTCCTTTCTCCATTATGAGGCATTTCTTGAAAGTTTGTAATAGCATCTACTTCTAAAGAAAATCTAAAACAACTTTTCATTTTCCAATCCATATAAAGTGAAGGAATTCCTACTATTATTTGTTGATAAAAATGTCTAGTGAACATAATTCGGTGTATGAATATAATGCTATGTGCAGTAGAGATGAAACTGAAAATAATAATAATAAAAGTTTCTAAAAAAGAAATTAAGAGAATCTAACTAAAATAACTAAGATTCTTACCATTAACTAGTAATCCCTAATTGGACCTTTCCTTTCTTTGTTTATGTGATGATGTCCTTGATCCTATAGAAAATAATTTTTGGTCGATATAATAAAGTTTGCTTATTTTTACCTATGAGTTAGTTCTAGTGGTTTAGTTTGAGCAACCACTTATCATCTTCCTCATTATTAGTAAATGAGTTTGCAAAAATGAGATCGTCTATCTTGAGGTTGGATTAAAACTCAGTAAATTCTTTAATATTTTATGAGATATTTTGAAAAAGGATAATCAAAATAGTAGACTAGGAAGAACCACCTATACAATTCTATTTGATGAAGTTGACACGATAAATAAATCTCAATTTCTAACGCAAGAAAATGAGCCTTGAGAGAACATTGCCCACTTCTTCTTAGGTTGGCAAAGAGGAAAAACTTTGAATTATATATCTTATTTGAGTGGTAAAATCATAGAGTTAAATTTTCATTCTTATGAACCTCCAATATCATGCTTTAAAGTACCGATACAATTACACAACAACCGATTTTATCTTAAGGTGGAAAAAAGAAGAGGGTTTAGTGAAGCTTAGTTAAGAATCAATGCACTTATCTTAAGAGCTACTGAATAAGTAGCAATATGATTATATCCAAAAGTTTTCAGATCAAAGCTCTCAATAAGAGAACCAGTGGATGGAGAATGAAAACGGTAGAAGGAAGTGAGAATAATGAACAACTTTCAAAGAGTATGTCACAAAATGTTGTATTTAGGCAAATTTTGGAAGTAGTGCTTGAGGTTTCAGCAGTTGAAGAATAGATCGACATAAACCACTACTCTAAACTCTTGTCCTTGCGTATTTGCTTTCAATAGCCTTAGTTTTGTGAGGAAGAAAATTGTAAACAGAAGAAAATTATGAATCATTTGGAATCACTTTTGTTTTTATTTTTTTATTATTTTTTTTTATTTTACCTATACTTTGATTTAGAATAAAACATGTTTGATGTTGATAACTATTTTTAAAAATCCTAATTTTACCTATACTTTGATTAACATGTTTGATGTTGATAACTATTTTTAAAAATCCTTAAAAAGACTAAACTTTCGCTTTGTTTACATTTTAAAAAATAATTTGATTTATTTTTACAAATAAAAAAATAATAAAAAGTATAATAAATAATTGTATTTTAAAAACAAAGGTAAAAATAAAAATAAATAAAATAAATTGATCCCAAACAAGCCATAAGCTCTTAATATTTTTGCTTTGCTTCGTTTAGTTTAGTTTTGTTTTGTTTGTTTTTTTTTTCCGAGAAAACATAAAAGCATTGAATAAACAATCTTCTTGTTTTGTTTCCTTACTGAAATGAAATGTATGCCCACTATTTATATGAATAATCAATTTACCATCAATCAACACAACAATAATATATGATACGCATACACACACATTTATTTCAGGAGTTACTGCAACATCCATTAGCCCCACCCTTTCACAAACCATTTAGGGTAAAATACTTGATTTGATGTGTAGGTATATTGTTGCCACTTTAATCTATATCGAGTTGATATTCACTCTTTAAATTACTCCCAATAATCTAACCTTTACACTTCCTTCCATCATCATCATCATCATCACCGTGTCGGTGGCATAAAAATCGATGACATTATAAGTTTAATACAGTGATCATTTGACAAGGCTTAGCCTAAAAGTAGCATCAACTAATCACATTTCGATGGAATAATGCGATATGCATCATCAATTACTTTTTACTGAGTATTTTAAGCAATGACTAATGTGTCTTTCACAAAAATTATAAATAGTTCTTTGTTCGATTCATTCATAGAAACCTTACAATCCCAAGAAAATTTAAAGTAACATCACAACAACACTCTAAAGACCCACAACAATTGTACTTGACCAAACCTACACCACCATTAATCTCCTTCAAAACTTGCATTGTTTTCGTATCACATCTCTATGACATAGGGTTATAGGCGAATTGAGTCAAATTTGAGCAACCCACAACTGGAGCTCGAGCTTGATTAAATACATGTTCAAGCTTGAGCTCAAATTTAGATCCACGAGTTCAAATTGATTCAAGAAATAACTTCCTTATTATGATAGAGAGAAAATAACATTAATTCAAACATGCTATAATAAAATAGGATACAGAACGAGCAATTAGAATATAAAAAACAAGAAATTATTTTATATAAAATATAAAATATTAATCTTTTAAGCAGTTTTAATAACTTAAAGATAATGACTTTATTTTTTATATATTTTGAGTATATTATATATATATATATATATATATATATATATATATATGTGTGTGTGTGTGTGTGTGTGTGTGTTTCTAAGCAGGGATTGGCTTAAGATTGGTTTGTTAGCTCATCAAGCTCAGTTCACGAGCCAATTATCAACCTAAGCCTAAGCCAACTCACGAGTCGAGTTGGCTTACAATCATTTCTGAAAAGCCCGCACCACAAAATCCCACGCTAAACCTACACCAACCAAAATTTTCCAACATTCACCATTTTTATTATAAAAAGGTCAAATCATAGATGACCCAAGAAAACATAGATCATCTTACATGCATGTATTAAAAAGCATTTAAAAAACATTATTACCAAGTATCATAAATAGTTGTTCACCCCATTCGTGTTAGTAACAATTATAGTGCCAGATAAAATATGTGCAATCAATCTGAAATTGGTTCAAGATGCTTTTGTACTTATTTATCCATACTGCTTTTTGCCAAGGGACGGCAGCGCACTTTGAGGTAGCCAAACTTTCCTGCACCAGGTGATGACCCCTCAAAAACAACTGGCAGATAACCAGTGGCATTTTTGTACCTCTGCTGTATCTGAAAAAGCACATTAGTAAGCGTTAGTAATGCATTGTCAGCAGAAAAATCCATTCAGTTCCTTGTATAAAAATCTAATTTCTAATGCCACTTTAGATAAAAACTCTTTAAACTCCAATTGTAGAATAAGTATTCATGGTTTTACTAAAGCTGCACCTAGAACCGCCTGAAATATATGATGAATAAGATTTATTAGATTATGAAAATTTGATCTGAGGTAGGATCAATTTGAAATAAGTTGTAAGAAACGGACACGGGAAGCGCCAGAAAAGAGGATGAAAGAGTTACTAGATTTATATAGATAAGCAAGGAAGTTTGATAGGTTACTATTAGAGAAAAGCTTCTGAATTCCTGCAAAGTTCACGGAGGTTTTATAAATAAGTACCTCAAGAATTTCTTTGTTGCTTTCAATGTTGTTCCTCCCAATCACACAGACAGTGCCGCCTGAGCCGCCTCCGGTAATTTTCGCACCAAATAAATTTGCCTGCGTAGGGGAGCTGCGATGTTGTATTTCTTGCACCAATTCAACAAGCCTGTCTGTTCCATCAGAGCCGAGTCCACAGTCACTGTAGCTATAATGACACTGCAGAAGTACTTCACTTCAGCATATGCAATGGTCTATAGAAACTGTTGAAGAAACATTAGAGATTCTATAGCGAGTCACAATTTATATGATCAAAAAGTGCTTGCTTCGCATGGACAATGCCATATTGCAAGGTAACTTACATTTGGTATTGGAAATAAACAATAGAAATAATCAATCTTTTCAAAGCATCGAGTTCAAATAAGTACTCTATGATGAGGAACTACGAAAGTACATGTACCTGATACATTAGTTCTCCTAGTGCAGAAAGTTGTTCGTCTTCAGTTGCTGCACTTAGAAGTGCTTTGAAAGCCTGCAGCATACGAGAACCAATCAGCACATAAAATAAAATAAAATAAAAGGCAAATTCCATAGGAAAATGAATCATCGAAAATATAAAAAAAGAATTATAAAAAGTGAGGGCATCAATCAAAACAATCATCAACTCTGCTTGGATAAAATCCAATGATGACTAGAATGCAATCCCATGTCTAATAGACTCACAAGTTAAATCAGCTTTATTTAAATGTTAGAACTTCGGTAGCTCAAATAGAAAAGGAAGTGCCATAGACCTAAACATTTTTAAATTGTGCTGTCTTCCCAATAAATCGTACTTGATCAAGCATGACACTGGGATTTATAATCTGGGGTTTAGCCTACACTGGGATTTGAATTACAGCTAATGATACCATGGAGAGTGATGATTACAGCAGTTTGACAATTCCTAATTCTAGTTTGGGCTTGAATCAAACGAGCCCTAGCTTTCTTTTTGCTTGCAATTTGTAAATATTTGTTTATGCGTGTGGTTTCATTACTCCCTTTGCCCTTTCTTCAGCTTATTAAAAATGGGTTCGCCTAATTGCCTGATAGTTTCATCTTTTTCTAAATGGACGAGTACCCTTATATTCTTTGATTAGGTAAAGAATCTTGATGTTTAATTGTTGAGAACTAGTTATATTTATTTCATTTCTATAATTCAAATGTGCAACCAGTTCTCCATTTTGTTTGTTCGGAGATAATGAAGCTTTTGTATGTTGGTTTCGCCACATTTCATTCACTATTGTTTGTTGGTGTTGGACTGTTTTAATTTATTTAGATGAATGTCTATATATCTGAATGCGCAATCAGGTCTTTTTTGTTTGCGGCCAATTATGCTTTTGCTCTTAGCCTTAACTAATGGATGACATTTGCTAGTGTTTCTGCTACTTGATTCCTGTGAATCGACAAATGCACCCAGGTTAGAAATTTTGGCCTATTCTGATATTTCTTTATGATATATAGAGTATTTAGTGAGTTTTAGATATTTATAAACACTTTCTTATTAATTTTTTTTTAAAGCTTAATTGCTGATATCTATTAATTTAATGTTGTAATTTTTTTTAGAGGCAATGCCAACTCAATCTCAAATAAAATCTAATAGTTTTTCACGTCGACCTCTTGCTGATGTAGCAACTAGCAACAAGACTAAATAAGAGTGCTGAGTAAGATTGCCACATTTGAAGAGGAAAAAAAAGGGTAAGAAAAAAGATAAAAAATAAGATTACATTTTAGTGAAATATCAGTCACAAAAAGAAAAAGTTACACAAAAGTTGAATGTAATTATTGTATGAAGTCTTATGAGAAATAAAAGTTTGACACCACATCTTAAATGAGAAAACATTTTAGAACAAATCACTACAGTAAAAAAAATTGATGAAACCGACTCTATTTCTACTTTATGCCTTATCCGCTTATGATCAAATTATAATTAAAAATATTGTTGGATTGTGGAATAGATCTTATGGCTTGTGGCTGTAGGTGTATGGTGTTGGGACTAGGAACTACTTGCCATTCCATATTATTTGACTTTTGATTGATGCTTCACATTTTTTCCTCTAAATGTTTTAAGTGTTTAATTTTCAAGTTTGTTTGTCTTCTATTTCACATGGATCTTCTAGTATTTGCTTATGAATCTATGAACTTGGATTGACTGTAATATAAGTCTTTCAATTGTTAATCAGCTATGTTCAATCTGGATCGTGGAATAAAATTTGAGGCTTGTGGCTGCAGGTGTAAGGGACTTGGAACTAATTGTCATTCCATATTATATGAAAATTTGAGGCTTGTGGCTGCAGGTGTAAGCTGTTGGGACTTGGAACTAATTGTCATTCCATATTATATGACTTCTGATCGATGCTTCATACTTATGTTATGGTTTTTTTTATTTTAGTTGCATTACTAAGTTTTATGGTTTTTAATTTTATTCCCATTTTTATTAAAAGAGTATATTAAGAGTCTAAGAGTGAGTATAACAATTTGCTCTCTCTGGGTGGTTTTCTGTATTATCTCTTTTCAAGCCTGACTTTATTTTGGATACACTATAGCTGCTTTATTTAAATCTTCCTTGATCCATTGAAGGATTGGCTGTTTTTTTTCCTATATTATTTCTTTTCAAGCTTGAGTGTAGAATATCAAATTTCATAAAGTTATTCCAAGGAAGTGATACTTGATAAATCAAAATGATAACTTCCATTATTTTGATATGACATTCTTTATTTTGCACCTTATTATGAATCTATGAGCTTGGATGCACTGTAATCAAGTCTCTATATTGTTAATAAGCTACGTTCAATATGTGGATAATTTCGTATCAAGCAAGGATCTGTTCGAAATCGAATCAAACACGAACTTATATATATCTAAAGAACCCCGGGTTACTTTAGTAATGTAGAATAATTTTTGTAGAATGATGTAATGTTTGAACTACAATTACAAAAGGGTCAAAGTTGTATAATAAGATTTTTGTTTTCTAAATTACAACCATTTTTCCTTTAACTTTTAAATTGTACTGCATGTTCCCGACGTCACTGCAAAATTATTGTCCATCCATAACCTTCTGAAGAACAAAATTTTCATGCAATATTCTCAGCAAACTATTGCATTATTCAGGACCAAGCTACGAGAAAGATAATTGAGAAAGCTAGAGAGAAAAATAGATTCTAAATGCTTGAAAAGAAACTTCGTAGTAGCATCCGTTCATGTAATTTCTTTCATTTCTATCAGCTTAACAAAATTAAGATATGAATCATCTTCTTTGTTTAGGACACCCCTCTTTCATATTTATAAAAACAAAGTTTCTTTTGTTATTTAAAAGTATCAATGAAAAAACTATTCATTTTGAAACATGTGAACATGTAAACCAACCTAGAGTATTCTTGATTTTAAATGATTCTAAATCATCAAATCTATATTTTATTAATCCAATAGATTAATTTTTTTTCATATTCACTTAGTGGGATAAAGGCTTGTTGTTGTTGTTGTAGTATTAATGATTGTACTACTATGATTTACCTCATTAAAAAAAGTCTAATATATATCATATTCTTTCTACTTTTTCATCGTGAGGAAAAATCGATTTGAGTGAACGTTCTAGAATTAATAATTGATAGACTATTTCAACTAGATGTTATCCTAATTTTTGAAAAAAGAATGCAAAAGTCACCCCCTTATAGTAGCTTGCATGTGCATGTTGAATATGATGTTCGCCCCTTATGGTACTAGAAATGGCCACCGACGTACTGTTGACCTCATTTTTAGTGAGGTCCAGTCTTTCTCTTAGGGTTTAGGATCTAACCTCAGGAATCTCCCTTTGACTATCCTAGAACCTTAGAAATGGGACCCGCCTCATTTTAGAAATTAAACCTACTTCTGTACCCCTTTGGAATTTCGCGTGTGTGGTATCTACTTCTAGCACTTAAAAGGGTGAAACCAACATGAGGAGCACAAACTTCGCAATTCGGAGAGTTGACACGTCTGATCACTACAATCCGCACCGCTTGTACTGTTACCTGTCGAATGCTCGAATAAACCTTTTGAAACGATGATAGTGGGTTAAAATTTTGTGAAATTTGAATTTTGACGCGTTTTTGACCTGATTATCGACGACGTCGTCCAGCGACCCCGGATGACAAAACGGACTGCACCGACACGTCTGGAGCGTCGATTTTGCCTGAGGAGTACACCAGTTTTGTTACAACGCCGCGCGCGAGTAAATCACATATAATTATATATATATAT